CTTGGGACACGTTTACGCAAACATTTCCCCCTCCGCGTCCGGATACGCCGTTTCTCTCAAGTTGTATCATAAAGGGTGATGATGATGGGGACGACGAGGTGCATCTGGGAATTAAGAAGGAGCGCAGGCAGGGTTGGAGTGGGCAGTGGAACTGCGATGATATGAGGGAGGTTATTGATCGCCTACGGGACTTGCGATAGTCCGGTTGTGAAGGGAGATTCTTTCGTTGGTGAGTTCTGGGATTATCTTGTTTTCTCAAAAACTATGCGATATTCATGGATTTTTAGTAGATATGCCTTCTACCATCTCCTCGCCTGTGTATTACCAGGGTCGATGATATTACTTATGTGTACGCATTCCTAATATGTATTTTGTTATCTCACGCCTGTTCTCACGTTAATGTATGATACTTCCTGCTTAATACCTGGGCAACTACCAATTATAATAGTCGCCTTATTATCTGACAGTGTTGCTCCGAACATTAAGTTATGCGACGGCACTTGACCAGCACCCGGATTTGTACAGCTCCCTTCCATGAGATTCCGTTCCGGGAGCAATGACGTCGACGGCGGTGCTCACTGAACTCAAAGCAGTCCTTCTAATAAGAAAGACACGAGGAAGGTGATCTTTGGAGATACGAAAACCCCGAAATAGGATACCCTGATACTACAAGGATGCGGAACCCAGCGGACCAAGTTCCGGATTTCTGATTATCGATTGACTATTGAAGTGACTCGACTATTCGTGTTCACGAACGGTAGCATGTAAATGTCGGCCGTAAAAAATAGGCAGAAAATGACACCGGAAAGATACATCTTCCACGCTGTACGCGAGATTCAGCAACGGAATAATTAGGAACCAATAGATGAAATCGCAGACCTTGTCTTGTATATCTCCATATCAAGCTTTCGAAACAGGTTCCCGAACACGAGATACAGTTCGCACCACGCGAGACTAAGAAGACAATCATAAGACTTAATACTTTTCCCAGTCAAGAGCCATTAAAGTACCCACTTAATACCCAAACATGCGCGAGGGCCTTTGGAGAATGGTACGAGATACTTATCCAACGACAGAGAATCTGACTGACTCCACCGGTCAGGGTTGAAGACCCGTGGCTCCGGAAAGATATCCTCGTTCATCAGAATGAAGGAAGTTCCCATCCCAACGATAGTCTACGAGGCATTGAGTGAATGATGTTGGTGAGGAAAACACAAGGCAACCCACCCCAGCAGGAACTGAAATCCCATCAATATCCATATCAGCGGATAATACCCTCGGAATGGAAACCGGAACGCCAATACTCATCCTCAGGGACTCTTTCACCACCCCAGTCTGTCATTGAGGTTAATGAGTAAACTTGTCCATGTGAAAAAGGCAACAAACGCGTACCAGGTAGGGCAATTTCTCGAGAGAATCATAGGGCATGGGCGATTCCTTTTCCGGCCACATGGCCTTCAGCTCCGCAACAAGCTTTGCTCGGACCGAAGGGTCGTTGAGAACATGGAAGAAACCCATAGTCATCGCATTACTGGTGGTATCAGTCCCCGCAATAAGGAATGTTTGTGCCTGGGAGATAAGATTTCTCTAATCAGTTACTGACGAGCAACGCAGTACGGGCATACCTCCGCCAACAAAGCCTTCCTCGACGGCCTCTCCACGTCGTCCAAGAGACGATGATAAATTGTCTCATGGACCGTTTCAAGTACCCCAGGATCAGCCAAGATTTTATCGATCTGCTTTCCCAGTACCTTCTGCAAACTGAAGAAGCCCACCGCGTCCGGGTTTATCATCCTCGTGACACCTTCTGGCAGGTAGTGCAAAAATTTGAGGATGGGGAAGTTACGTACAGCGGTCATCGTGACCGTCATAGCCTCCATGCCCAAGAGGATGGGATGAGCGAAGCTCGGAGAATGGAGTGCGTCAAAGGATTGGGCGTAGCAGTACGCGGTAATTATGTCCATGGTTGTGGCCTTGAAGGCCTGGTGTAGGTCGACTGGTTTATCGCAGTATTCTTCCGTAATGATGTCGATCAGTGTATTCACCTTTCAACAACTGTTAAACCAGTGTACGGCCAAGGGTATCATAAAACAGACGTACCTTCTGTTGGATGATGCTCTCCAGTTTGAGAATCGATCGCCGTGAGAAGAGTGGGTTAAAGATATCTCGTCTCTTTTTCGCCAACGCGGGATCGGTGATTCCGAACACGGAATCGTCAGCATTGAAGCACCAGTAATAGTTTGGGTCTTTGATAACATTCGCATGAGTGGAATATATAGAGAAATATGCCTGTGGATTGCTGAAGTGTAGCTTAGAAGAGTGCCGATGAGTCTTTTGCATTATTTTAGATAAGGGCTGACACTAACCTCGTTGGGCGCGATTCGGACCACTGGACCTATAAATACTCAGGATCAATAAAACATTATCATCAATATAAGGGATTGAACTATCTCACCATAAATTCGATGAAGACGCTCCAATTCTTTGACAATCATCCCATCTCGAATTGTCTCCCAGTAAGCTACGTACCACGACGTCAGCGCAGCGAATTTAGGTCCAGGAAAAACTCTGAGGGGATGAAACACAAGCCGGGATAGAACGCGATAGATGCACCAAACCACTGTTACAGCGAGTAGAAACATGACTTCGGGAGGTATCCGATATTTTCAAGTTCCAGCTATATAGCTGATATTAGTAATCCTCTGAATTCCATTTGCCGGTAACAACACCAACACCAACACCACCATTCGCAACTAAACCGTCTCCACTCATGCTCTGATACAGGAGAAGCATCTGACGAAGGTCGCCTGAGAGCGCGCGTGAACAGTTCTTAAAAGTCAGTCAGTGATGGTCACACGCAGGGAAGCTAGTTGAAGCGACAGACCAAAGATAGCGTTTCGCGGGATATGCCGGGATGACTTTTTTTGGCAACGTCCATCGCTCTATAAATTACCCAAAACCGATAGACTTCATAAGTACTGCAACACTGAGGCTTGGGCCAGAACAGTAACACTCGATGAACACTGGGTACTTCTTCGTCATCTGGTTTGGACTATTTCGTCTCCATCTCGTTTGCCTCGCATCTTCCTGTCCGAGCGAGATCATCTTTTCTCCCACGACTCGTACTGCTCCAAACCTGTCACAAACGATAGGCTTTCATTGGATCGATGTCATTGCAACTTCCTCCGCATTAAATATTCCTGAAATAAGGTCGGGACTCGGAAGGGACGCCACAGGTTCTTCCCGGGGACCACGGACCGGACTCCGCTGGGAGCGGATAAAGTCACACTAGTACTGTGTCGTTGATTTTGGATTCTTATGCCCAGAACAGTCATCATGGACGGAATAGACACGCAGATTACACTGTTTCTGGGGGATTTCGGTCTCGTTTACGTAGTATTTGCATAATACATCGGTGAACACGCTCCTGCTGGCTATGCTGCTTCGAACTTTTGCAATGTGCATGCTACCGGGTCTGTGATTCCGGAACTACGGGTATGTAAAGGTGAGCTATCGTCGGGCTAGCTGTGAACAAAGTCTCAGTCAATTTGTCCTAGATCAATCCGACGCCTTGTAGTTAGCAAGGTAGTAACGTGGTAGTGGGGCAAAGCTCTCCATGCTCCTTTCAGCTAAGCCAAAAAATCTTGAAATTGTTATTCTACTCCGCCGACTAGGTCTAGTCTTCGGGGAACAGGACCTCGGAGATTGCGCGGGAACGCCTCTTCTGATTTTTAGTGCACAGAGTCTGGAACTTACCCGTTTATTCAAATGACCGAAACCGCCTCCGAGTTAATATGGGGGGCCCGACTCTGGCGAAACATGCCTATAAGTCGACGTATTGGGTGGAACATAAGGTTCCCCTGGTTCGAGAACAGTGAGGGCCTCTACTGGTATATCGGTTACTGTATGCATGTGCGAAAGCTGGGTTCGACTCCCAGAAACTCTGCTAATCATCGATAAGAGTTTTTTTAGGTTCTGTATTTTCGTGGTTGACTGTTTCTGTAAGAGTCCCAACAGGTAAATCAGTTCGCTCGTGCTTTCCAATACATTAATTATTGCAAAATTAGGGATCTTCGTAGATTCTTCGCAAGGAAATTGATCTCAGAGCGTCCTTTGTTTTCAAGGTGGTAGGAGCAGCTGTGTCGTACGGTCGTCACTCTCACATGATGCTAAAATCGAATGTTGCAGGATAAAAAGCGAACGGATAAATGGCGCTTTGGCACTCTCCGCTATTGCTCGTTATCACAGGTCAGCAAGAGTCGCAAACCCAGAGTGGTGGTGGCAAGGTTGGCGTTCTGAGCTTCGAGTCCTGTATGAGAATCATACCTGAGTCGGAAAGGCTGATAACAACAGCAAGGACGAGTACTGGTTATACCTGGTGCAAGCTAGACACTGGGTTCGACTCTCAGACGGACTTCTTGTCTATGTCAATTAAAATGCATGTTTTTTAGAACTTTCTCTGTATTTTTTGCCGGATTTAATCTTGATTCTACCAAACGTCGAGATGTTAGAATATCACGAAGTGAGCCCTAGAGACGAGCTCGGAGTCTGGCAGAAACACGACAAATCTTGACCGTGGACGTTTACTCCTTGCCCCTGAGTTTCTGTCGTGATTCATCTGCTTTCAAATGCTCTTAGTTTTCTGGGTTTCTCGATCAAGGAAACTGCCTGAAACCGGGATATATCCCCACACGTTGGTTACCAATGCATACCACACTCTCCTCGGCGGAGGAGCTTTTAGTTTAGAATCTAACCTCTTCGGGTGCACCGGTTAGTGCGCGGTAAATCTGGGTTCAAATCACAACGGAGTGTATCCTGTGCACAGGTTTCAGCTGACATGTTTTGTTGTCTTTTTTCATGGTTCTCTATTTGACATATTCCCAATACTGTTAGAGGAGGGCAAACGTCCCGTCAGAATAGATGGAGTCGTATTGCTAATACATGGATGGCTTCGTCATTAGCTTCAGGTCTTGAACATATACCATTACGTGTTTTACAAGTCTCTGGTAGCACATCGGCTAATGCGCGCTTGTCATTACATTTGTCAGCACGAAATCGGGTTCGACTCCCAGCTAGAGAGTGACCCCAGTCCTGAGTATTCTTTTGTATCGTTCTCAAGGCAACTTGAGAGCAGGTCGTGCAGACAGGGTACGCCCCGTTCTTTTTTGGACACATCAAGTTGAGAGCAGCTATGTGTTAAGATCCTCAGATGTCTGTACGTCATGATAGACTGCCAGCCAAAGAGCATTTCTGATCTCTGATGGTACATAGGATGACAACCATTGTATCTGCATATTTGCCAGGTTCAAATCCTAGCGAGAGAACTCAAAGAGAACTCACAGAGGAGCAGAAATTTTGTTTTACATCAGCATGATGGTCCATGGGACGGTATTGGCAAATAGATGAATGGTACATTAGCACTAAGGCCCCGTATTGCAGACGAGTCGCAGTCGCTCTAGATTGGAAAGTTCCAGCCTCCCACATTTTGATGGAATTCCCGTGTATGATTTAGAAAAATCCACCTTGTTTGGTAGGGCAGCGGTAACTACATCTCTAGTCGTATACGTGTTATACCAGCTAGACACTGGGTTCGATTCCTAGACGGACAGATTCAGAGATCTGGGATCACTTTTTTTGCGGAAGCTCTCTGGATTCATGGATGAGCCTGAGAACGAGACGTTGATAGCTGTACAGCTTCTTGCTTAGGGCTCGATCTATCAATTGTCAATACTGGTAACATGCTCAGTATATCACGAAACCTGGCCTTCGCGGATTGTACGTCGAGCAACCTTGGTTCTGAAACAAGATGCTCATTCTTGGAAGCCTTCTTGCTCAAGGACACGAAGAGTAACGCTACACCGATACCTTGAGAAGTAATCGAGTTCAGAAAGGACAAGCATACAAAAATACAAAACATTCTAGTGAAGAACGTCAACAGTACTCCGCACTGATCCGGATACGTCCCAGAAGAAGTCAAAGCTGCGGATAGACTTTTCAGAGAAATACTATCCAAGACTGAAAAACGAGCATCAGATTTGATGCTGAGAGGTCGGAGATATTGTACTCAAAAGGTTGGACTTTGCCTCATGCACGCCTAGCTGAAGGGAGAGGCCGTCTTTGATTTGGGTGAGAATGGTATATCAATATGTTGACGCGGTCACTCGATTGGCACAGAGAACATGAAAGAGTGAGATCGGCACACTTCCAGCGACGTCGATGAACCTTATTGTCCAGCCCAGCGATCAGAACAGCCGCGTCTGCCTGCAGTCATCAGCTGACTACCTACACGCGTGCACAATACTTGCCTTCTCTTCATCGACCTTTCTCCATGCACTACGGGACAGACAATTGATCCATGTGATCAGTCGTTTCGCGATGCAAGGACAGCTAAATGCTATATGCCGCTTGAGTTCCCAGAGGATAGCAGGCACGAGAGTGGGGTGCATCGATACATCGTCTCGTTCAGGCTGATGTGGAAAGGAATGTGCCGCTGAGAATCGGTTGCCTGGTCAAAATGTATTGAACAGGACCGCCTCTTGCGGCTGAAATGGAACCGAACACGACGGGAAGGCATTACTATAAGGGCCTAGGGCCTTGAGCCTGATGCATGATGGAGTGATGCTTCGTCAAGAGACTAAGTCGAAGCGGAACGAGCAAAAGGCCTTAGAGCCATATGGTCGCGCTAAAGAATGTCAGCGTGATAATACATAGACTTGCGTAGACTTACCGTCAACATCTAATAACATCTGGGGTGTGACGATCGATAATCATATTAATCTGCCTGGCCAGTAGCCACCATTTCGGATTCAGGATCGCCATACTTCTAAGCGCAAGTGAGGCTGCTTCTATACATAGTATGACGGCATGTTTGGTGAGAAAAGGAAGGAAGCAGATCGTTGAGGAATTGAGAATACGGCTTGAAGGTTCGGTGGTCGGCATTGTAGTATTTTGAGTAGATTTTGATGAGTGTCGTCCTTTCCACAAAACAGGTATGCGTAAAGAGTCAGAGACGCTCTACCTGGATGGATAGTACTCCCCATCACCCGAAATCGAGCCGCGATATCCTGTATTAGCTTCTCTGAGTCGCCCTGAGACCGTGTTGAACCAGGTGGACGAGTCGGTGGACAAAGCTGACATGCCTGAAGAAAGAGAACAGCAAGCCCAAAGCAAGCCGCAAAAACGTCTGATCGGTCATCGGTAACCCGGGCCGACTGCTCTTTCCCTCCTTCCCGCTTTCATACCACGGCGCATGGCTTGCTGGCATGTCAAGGCTGTGAACCCGGCCGTTCCTGGTTGGGACCTGGCGCCGGTACCAACACCCAACTCCAGAAAAATATCCAACGTTCGCAAGTCCTCGGCTGAGTCATTGAACAGGGTATTGCACCTCCATCTTGACACAAAAAAATAACCAGGATTCTGTTGGGGTTCTGCTTGTCACTCGAAGCACTGTACAGTTGCGCGCCGTAGGAGAACCGCTCTTGGCTGGGGTACGTCTCCCCTGTGTTCGGTTCCATATAACGCTCCCCATCAGGTTGAGTGTCGACAAAGGAGGTTTTTGTTTGAGACTTATAACCTCTGCTGGTGTATCGGTTATCACACGCAAAACCCGGGTTCGACTCCCAAACAGAGTGTACGAGCTTATTGTGATCGGGATTGAAATTTGTTTTCTTTTTCAAGGTTTTATATTCAAGGTTTTCCTGATACCATTCGTAGATGTGGAAGCGAATGTCCGAGTCCCTTCGGAACACTTACATGGAGTCGTATTTCTAATGCATGCATGGCTTTGTTGCTTGGCTTCAGACCTTGAATATATACCATTACGTCTTTTACAAGTCTCTGGTAGCACATCGGCTAATGCACGCTTGGCATTACATTTGTCAGCACGAAATCGGGTTCGATTCCCAGCTAGAGAGTGACCCCAGTCCTGAGTATTCTTTTGTATCGTTCTCAAGGCAACTTGAGAGCAGGTTGTTCAGACAGTGTGCGCCCCGTTCTTTTTCGGACGCGATAAAGTTGAGAGCAGCTATGTGTTAAGATCCTCAGATGTCTTTATGTCACTATAGACTTCCACCCAGAGAGCCTTTCTGTTCTCTGATGGTACATAGGACGACAACCGTTGGATCTGCATATTCGCCGGGTTCGACTCCTGCGATGACACTTGGGTATAGACCGAATGAAAGTTTTTCTTTCACAACACCATTACAGTCCATGACATGTTACGGGCGAACGGATAGATGATGCATCGGCATTGAGGCTTCATATTCTAGACTAGTCCCAGCCGCTTCCATCTTTGACCCCACTGACTAAAATGGTGACTTCGCTTTTGATGGTGTGATTCGGATAATCCCACTTGTCTTGGTAGGAAAGCAGCACGGAGAACTATGTCCCTAGTCGTATATCGGTTATACCAGCTAGACAACGGGTTCGATTCCTAGACGGACATTATGCAGGTAGAGTGTTTTTTGGGGAAGGCTCGTGTGTTCACGGGTGACCCTGCGAGCCAGAGCTGTTGTGCATAACAAGATGTTCAAATGTTCATTCTTGGGAAGATTCGCAGGCAAGGACAGAAGATTAACGCGACATGGAGACTTTGAAAAGTCATTGAGTTCAGAGAGGGCAAGCATACATAATATTCTAGCAAAGAATCTCCGGATACGTCCCGTAAGAAGACACATGGTCCAAACTGTGCATAGGTTTTTTACGGACAGAATACTACACAAGACCGAAAACGGGCGTCAGATTTCGTGTTGGGTAGGAATTGGAGATATAAAGTACGCACAAGATTGGGGTTCGGTTATGCAAGCCTAGGTAGAGGGAGACGTCGTTTTTGATCTGCATGACGACGGTATATTGATATCTCGACACGGCCACTCCGTCGACACAAAGAGCGTGGAAGAGGGAGATCGGCACACTTCTAGAAACATCGACGGAGCGGCAATGCGGATCAAACACGAGAGTTTCTCGCCATCGCAGAAGAACCCTATTGCCCAACTTGACAATCAGAAACAACATCATCTACCTGCGGTCGTTAGCCGAATGTTTAAACGAATGCATATTAATCGCCTTCCTTTCATCGATGACTTTTCTCCGATCACTCCCATGCAGCACTTCGGGATGGATAACGAATCCACGCATGGTGTTGTTTGGTTGTGATGTGACAAAAGGGCGGCCAAACGGTATCTGCCACTAGAGACACGGGAGGGGTGCGCCGATGTGTCGTCTTGCGCGGATTGACGTGGTGAGGAATGTGTCGCTGAGATTGACGGCCTGGTCAAAATGGGTTCAATTGACCCGTCTCTTGTCATTAAAATTGGACGAACTCGACGGCAAGGCATTTTATTCTATCCCCAGTGCACTTCGAAAGGATCACCCACATCGGGACTACACACGGTTAGCAAGCTAGACGACTGAGTACTGATTAGCCGGGGTGAATGATAATTGGAGAGGGATAACATACCTGCTTACAATACGTATGAGCGAGTGCAGTTATCATGAGCGCAACCAGACGAGGAAAGTCATCATGATTGTAAGAGCCGATGCCTTTCTCGTGATTATGTAACAAGTCCTGATGGAAGGCATCCACGGTTGCGCGGAATTCTATGCCAAGCAAGAGGTCCACATGTATGCTGTTAGGGAACGGGCCACGTTAGACTAAGCAATTCATGACATCCCTCCACCGGACACTGTCAACGAAACACTGCTGACAGATAGCGAGTAACATGCTGCACGCCCACCTCTCCTTTCGCTACCACTGCCTGCCGTCACAAAAGTGGATGTAAGCGTGGAATGCAAACCAGGATCACAGCAGAGAGGCGCGAGCGGTGCCGGACATTTGAGAGGGCGCAGCGAAGAAGCATGCATAGATCAATCCCAGGAGAAGGAGCGGTTTAGATTACGCAGTGACCGTATGACATGGCATGTATTCGCCCGGATATTCACGAGATGCTTCCTACCACCGCACTATCAAGCGACCTATTTCTACACACAACTCTCGCTAGTCCATCAAGGGATGGTGCCGAGATTCTGATTTGGGTGTTTCTTATCGTTGTTAATCAGCCTCATTAGTGGGAGGATGACATA